ATATATAATATATATAATATATATATTAGATGAAGCTTTGGGCTTCTCTAAAAAGAAGGCTTTGCAGAAAATAAGCATGTTATAAAAGCTAGAAATAATCCTTAAAAAGTAAGCAACTGAAAGGACTCATACTATTTCCATAAGTTACTAACTTCTCTGTGCCTCAGTTTACTCTTGTACAGTGCAACTCATGGACACACAGAGCAGTCTATTTAGCCCTTTTGTGACTTTGTCTCCTTTTTGGTAAGTCAGGCGACAAATGCTGCCACCTCACTTAGGAGAACACAATCCAAACCTCTGAAGTTTCTTGGTTATTAAGAGCTGCTCTAAGAGGAAGATGGAAGATGGAAGAGAGCATTTGGACTACTTTGAGTAAACAGACGGTGTTGACAGCTCTGGCTAAACCAAAAGCTTCCACCTCGAAGGAAAGAGCGCTTATGGTGAGAGCGACTTTGCTTACGTTTTTCTCATCTTAGTGTTGCGGTAAAATAGCTGAGAATTTTGCAAAGCAATGACTCAGATGGCCAGTGATACTCTCTGACTCAAATCTCACACCGGGGAAGCCGCCTAGGGCTGAGCATTCCTGACACCTTCTACTATGGGCCGCAGTGGGAGAATTTGGGCCACACCTGCTGAAGGTTGTAGCACAGGTTAAAAGCAGAAAAACAATCACATTTTCCTTCAGAAATGAGGTCAATGTTTTATTGTGCGCTTGTTTGCAGAAAGTTAAATACTGCTTAAGAAAAGGCAGCCTGCTCAGAAGCCAGCTTGGTCTCAACAGGTGGGCAACTCTTTGGGAACCCGTTCCACTCCGCTGTGTTATTATTCTCTGCGAGAGAAGCCCAGTACACCACTTTCTTTTTCTAAATGAGTTCCCAAAGCCACCCACTTGACTTCACTTTGGGGAAAGTGGTTACAAACAAACGGTGCTTGCGCCAGCAGCTCGAGGTTCCTCCAGCCAAACAAAAGTTTCCGAAGGAAACTTCCAGGACCTTATGTAAGAGAAGCAACACACCACGGCAGAGTACTGCCACCAACCGAGGGACCTCAGCGCCGGCCTCACCCAGAGAAAGTGGCTCCCCAACGCCCTCGCCGGCCGCAGCCAAGCCCGGGATGTCACGCGCGCGCGGTGGTGGTGGCATCGCTCTCAGCCCCGAGTTCGGGGCCACAGCACAACGGGAAGCCTCGCAAGGGAACTTTCGCCTGTGGGCTGCCACATAAACAAGTTGGGCTCAAGACCATCTAATGCCCGAGCAGGGCCGCGAGAAACTCCACTCTGCGCGCCGGCAGCTTCCCCGGGCTCCGCTGAGTGTTGACGCTGTGAGCAGAGACCGGGGAAGATGCTCTACTCGCCCGGCCACCAGCTGCCCGGGGCCGAAGGTGCTGCGGGAGAGGCCGGTTGTTCTCCCCACAGCCCAGTCCTCCCCTCAGCTGTCCTCTCTCTGCAGCCTTGGAGCAAGCTCAGCCAAAGCCTCCCCCTGAAGCGGATTCTACGCCCCTGACTGTGCAGGCCCGGCCCCAACCGCCACCTTCAGGGGCGGTGGCCAGGGTGCCCCCGCTGCACCGAGCTGGCCGTGCGGGGCGACTGGCACCGCGCGCCGCGTCCCAGCGCCCGAAGCCCGGCCCGCGCCCCGGGGTGCCCGGTTACCTAGCCCCTGGATGAAGACGAAGCCGGTCACCATGAGGACCAGGTGCCAGTTAAACTGCAGCGCGGTCCCGTCCCAGCCGAGCCCCTCCCGGTAGTGCAGGACCCAGATGAGCGTGAAGATCACCGACAGAAAGCCGAAGAGCAGCGCCAACACCAGGAGTCCCAGGAAGCCCTTGTAGCCGTCCATGGTCATCAGAGCCCCATACTCCGCGCCCCGGCAGCCTCCTCGGAGCTCGGCGAGGCGGGTCCGCCCGGGTGGCGACTTCTGGGCGCGGTCTCCGCCCGCGGGGAGGGGCCTTCTGCCGCTGGGGCCTCCGGGAAGGGCAGCCGGCCACGAGAAAAGGGCCCCACCCCGGATCCCGCGGCTCGGGGCCGCCCTCTGGCCTGACCTGGGAGCTCACCTAGGGCTCGAGTGGCCGGTCCGGTTTGTTCACAGAGAGCGCTCTGAGGATTTCATGCCCACCACTTTCTTTTAACTCTTCCTGCGTCTCTTCCTTGTTTGTAGCGAGGGCCGTGTGGCATGCTTTCAGTTGGCTTGGGTTATGTGTGTTTTAAATTAAAAGCCTCCTAAGTTTAGAAGGTTGGCTCTGATGCTAAGGAAGGGTCAAGGAGAAACCTTGGATGGTGTGGGCAGCAGATGGCTTAGCCTCGTCTAGTAAGGAAACCATTGCTGTTTCCTATGGAGAGAGGGAAAGCAGGCACTTGGACCCTGGCTTTGCCTGCAGGGTGTGGACTACATGGAAACTATCACTGAATCTTCTAGTTTTTCAGTTCTTGTTCCTGGGTACTACATTCCTGTACAACATCCCCATTTAATTTTATACTATTTCCGTTCCTCTGCAATCTTTAACCAGTATTCAATAATAGTCATTGTTCTTTTGCCTAAGAGTATGTAGTCCTTATCTCCCTTCATACGGTGATCTAACACTTCTCTCTGCTCTTGACTTGCTTAGCAGCAGCAACAAATGAAATCTCTGGGATTCTAGACGCCATTTAGCAGAGCACCTCAGGGAAATGAGACATGATCCAAACGGTGCTGACGGTGTTGAGTTGTCTCCAAGGTGTACGTTAAAGAGAAAATTCCAACTTTAAAATTTAAAGTTGTCCTTTCAGGACCTAACTTTGATAGAACCTATTACTTAGAAGAGAACATTTTTCAACGAATATTGTTGTGGCCTAGTGAGAACAACTATCTAAAAACAACTGTTCAGTAACCAAAATTTCTCTTAGGAAACAGGGAGCAGTTTGTAACCAAGGTACTTTAAGAGTTCCTGAGGTGTGTGTTGGGACAGAGGGGCAGTTCTAACTGAACAGAACAGACTTCCTAATGTCTGTGATGCTAGAAACATGTACATATTGACAGAGAGTTTATAGACCCTGAGAGAAACAGTCTGTAGAGTAAGGAGATGGGCTGTGAAGAGGTGGGGCTCGGAGTCAAAGCCATTCATGTGAGGTGAGCCGCAGATGGATTATCTGGAAGCTCCCTCGCTATTGAGCTTGCTCGTGATAATGGTGCATTTCTTCTGGTGCTTAGGGTGTCCGGTGTTCTCAAGCGAGGTACTAATAAGCTGTACAAAGTGGTTGCTTTATGGCATAAGCAGACCGTTTTTTAAATTTCCACCTGTTAACAGGATCTCCTCCGTCCTTTGCCTTGCTTGTGCCCTTGGAGGCTGAAGTCAACAGCTTTTCTTGTCCTCTTGTTGCCATGTGGTGGATCTGACAGATTTTAGGTTCTTGTGTATGGCAGGCAGTGAATTGTGACATGTACACGCAATGCTGAGGGGAAAGCAGCTACATTTATTGAAAGTCACGGGCAGAGAAATGGATGATAGAAAAGGAACACCGCATGCTTGCAGACAAATCAGGCTCTTGGGCTCAAGAGCAAGAGAGGAAAAAAAGGGCTTGCATGTGATTTGGTCTGGGGGTATGCGGAATGCTCCTAAGGTGGCATCTGAGCTCAAGTGTGTGGAGGGGAGTGAATTCCTCAGGCCTAATATCCTATCTGTACTACTCTGGCTCCCAGTTGGGTTCGGCTGACAGACTATACTAACATAGATTAGAGGGAAGGAGTGAAGACTGGTCCACTGATTTATCCCACTGTGCTCCGTTGGCAGGTCATGGCTTTTGCAGTGGTTTTATTTCCCTTAGCCACACAACTTTCTAGGGTGCTCTCTTCCATAGCTATGGCTCTCACAGAAGTCTGGCATCATACAGGTCTAGGGTTCCTGGGGTAGTTGTTTCTGTTCTACACCATTGCTGTTGGGTTTTCTTAAGTCTGTCTATACCTTTGAAATTATTTCATTTATTAAGCTCTTTAAATCCTTTGTGCAATCCAGGTGTGTCCTGCAGGATCCTGACAGATACCAGTGGAAAAATACACCTAAGACTACTATTTCCCTAGCTCCATCTCAATTGCTTGTGCCTTCCTAGAACATATTATGAATGCAGAAACATATGAAGTGAAAAAAAATCAAAAGGAAGGAAGAATAAGAGGAGGTCACACTCTTATTTCCTCTTTTTTACTAAATAAGAGTTTTGGGAGTCAAAAGTTGTCCAAAGAGCTCCATATAGCTCAGCAGTAGAGCCCTTACCCAGCATGCATGAGGCCCTGGATTTAGTTCCCAGCACCACAAACCAAAAGATCCAAAAACAAAACACAACAACAACAACAACAACAAAAAAACCCCAACCCCAAAAGATCTACCTATACCACTCCTCATATACACCCAAAATAATTAAAGTTAGCATATATAACAATTCCTGCATATCTGTGTTTAGAACCACACAGTTCACAATAGCCAAGGTATGGAACTAGCCTAGGTACCCATCCACATACAAATGGATAAAGAAAACATACATATACACGATGGAGTAAAGAAGAGAAAAATCATGTCATTTGCCAGATGGTGGATAGAACAGGAGATCATGTTAAGTAAAATAAGCCCAATTCAGAAAGATCAGTATTGTATATTTTCTTCCATAGGTGGACTCTAGAAAAAAAAAAAAGACACCATAAAAGTAGAAGGGAGACTATTAGACAAGAGGTTGGGGAATCGAGAGGGAGGGGAAGGCAAGATAGGATACTATGGAGAACAGATATGATCAAAGTGTTACATGCATGTATAAAAATGTAACTGTGGTGGTTAATTGTCAACTTGCGTAGGAGTGCCCAGCTGAATTGAGTGTGTGGTTCTGGGCATGGAAGACCCACTTAAGGAGGATTGTTGTTAGAACTGTACCATAGGAGAACAGGAGGGGAGGATTTTAGGCTGATTTCCCTGGGAGAGCTTGGTTGCTGCTCATTTTCTTTCTGGCTGCTTTTCTTTGGAGGAGCTTCAGCTGGTCTGTTCACCTTCTCCAAGGAGGGCTTCTGTTCTCTTGGGAGGATCTCCGGTCTTGGCCTTCACTTTGAGTGTCATCTCCTGGCTCTTGGTGCAGAATCTTTGGTCTACATCCAGGTTCCCTGGGCCTCCGGATAGGAACTTGCCCAGGACGTTCCCTCAGGATTCTTCAGATCTCTAGCACACTCGTCTACATTTGACTCTCTGGGCAGATATTGTAAGCTACTCTTGTAAATTTGTGTGTCCTGCATTAAATCTGTTCTCTTGTAAATACTGACTGCAACAGTCACACTGAAACCCAACATTCTGTATAATTCATGCACTAATTAAAAAAAAAAAATCACCTCAAATGACCAAGATAAAGTGACTCACAGCTGACCCTGATGCAAGCTAACCTCAGAAAGTGGTCAAAGGCTCCTTAATGAAATGAAAGGGAGGATTACTATTTTAAAAGAACAAAGTCAAACCCACATATCAAAGACAAGCAGACAAATTGTTATTTCTAGGAATGTTAATCCTGGGAGAGGGGTGGCTTCCTGGGTCTACAAGGCCCCAAATGTCAGCAATCAGAAATACAGAAAATAAATGTAGTCAGTACATCCTAGGACAGTTGTTGACAGAGAAAAGGTGTTTAAAAACACATTTGTAAACCAGGTGTGATGGTGCCCACCTGTAATCCCAGTCTTTTGGGAGGGTGAGGCAAGAGGGTTGCCAGTTCAAGTCCTGCCCGGGGAATTTAGCAAGACCCTGTCTCAAAAAAAGTATGTGTATATGTGTGTGGGGGGGTGTAGCTCAATGGTTGAGCACTCCTAGATTTGATCTCTAATACCACACACACACACAAAACAAACACATTTGTGTACTGACTGAAAGACTAGTAGATTAGAGAGTCTAAGATAAAGTCAGAGAATTAGCATGTAAAGACCGCCCTATGACATTTTTCTTAGACTAAAGCTTTCTTTCACATACACCAAATTTTAAAAGTAACATTGAACTGCTTGGATAGGACATTATAAAACATAAAGAACTGGGTTGGACAGTTAATGGAGGAGCCAAAAACATAGATTTACTTTTGGAGAACTTTTATTGCATGCTTTCTAGTTTGGCTCTGTAATAACAGGAATAAATGTTCTAATTATAATCTTCTCTGTCACTAATGCATTTTTTAAAGGGCATTCACAGGCAGGATGTCTCAGAAATATATTTTCAGGACGGTGGTTCACGGAGCTCAGGGCCTTATTGACACATGCAGGGATCATGCGTCCAAAAAGAATCCTGAGTGTAGACCCCAGAGGCTCTCCTAACAGGTCTGGTGTTTGACTGAATAAATTTCACCTGCATATATCTTAGATTTGCACTTAGATTCTCACTGGATCTGGGGAAGACTTGATTATAATTTCTTTTTAGCAGGGAAAAGCTTTTTTTAAAGAGAAAAATTGAATTTTACATTTGGTCCAAAATAATTTAACTTGGTTTCTGTCATTTATATGCTCAACCCAAGCCTAGATTCCTGAGATTCCACACAATGGGAAGCTGTTTGAAGAAGGAATTTCAGCTTGCTGTATAATCAGACAACTTATGAGGGCCCAAAATGGGGCTGTAGTTTGCTAAGTCATGAGAGGATGGGTTTAGGTTTGAGTAGAATTCTTACACTGTCATGTGTGGAGAAATCATAGGTAGCTGGAAATGGCATCTTTATTTTCATTAACTGAATTTTAGCAATTTGTTTAATTACAAATACAGACAACAAACCCACCATGAGTATTCATAGTAGCAATCACTTTGTTTCCCCTGATAGTTTTGTCACATTGGAATTGTTACAGATATCTCAATTTATTGTGTATGCTGAATACTTCTTCAAACTAACTGTAGTAACTATTTGCATCTGCAACCAGATCTTATTGATGGATCAATAATGAGGCACATATATTACTACATCATGCATTTACTT